TCTCTTACTTAAGTCAAGGTCCTGTAAGGTACATGAATTGTAAAACTGAGCACACACGGATTCCCATTAGCATTTATTTTGTCATGGGCTTTTCCCTGTTAAAGAATGTCTGCTGTTCTGCCCATATCTTAGCGCCAGCATGCTGAAGATGCTGTGAGATGAGCAGTCTTGGGCTGTTGTGGTCATACAAGCAGTTTGCTGATTTATTGGAAGAACAGGAGAAAAGTGTACAAATACAGAAGTGTTTGGATTCCTTCAGTGCTCCCGACTGTGCTATCTAGAGGGGTTTTTTTTATTTGTTTTCTGTATAAGAGCTAGATGGAAAGTTTCCAACAGAAGGAAATTCCAACGAAGGACGGGAAAGAAAGTGTAGGGTTTTGATTTTATGGCTGTATTTGTAAAAGGTTTTATGGCAACATTTTTCTGCATCATAAAAAACGTTTTGTGAAGCCTGGGTTAGTGCATGAATAGCACAACTCAAGAGTGAAACTCTGCCCATAGGAGAGCCCAAAAACAAAAGAGGGAGAAGTGGGGCGGGTTGGGGGGTGGGAAGCCCACTGCTCTGCTGCTTCCGTGCTGTTGCGGAGAAAAGCTCCAAAAGAAAAATGATTAAACAATACGTTTTCTTTCTTCCCAACAACAAACCTCTTTCTGAAATGCAATTGCAAACTGGATGGCTTTTGTCACAGGTTCAAGTTCCCTGACCTCTGGGCGAGATCTCTTGAAGTGATGGATAGCTGTGTTTTTAACATGGAGCGGCAGCGCAGGAACAGATGCTGGGTTTCAAGCTAATGAGGACTATAAATCCTGCAGCCAAAAAAAATACAAAATAAAAAAACAAAGATCTTTCAAACAAAGTAGAACCGCAGTAAAGCAGCACTATGAAGGGGATGGGGAGGTGGGATTGCTTTTAGGTGCAGCTGGGGAGCTGGGAGCCTTCGTCAGGAGAGCGGTCCCTGCCTGGTATTGAGCTCAGGGAGCAGCCTCTGTGCCATGAATGGGAGCCAGCCACGTTCTGCCTCGTGTCAGGCAGTGGTGGGACTGTATGAATGGTAGCAAATGGGAATTCTGTCCTGTGCATGTCAGTATTGTCCCCTCCTGGGAAAGCCAGGGCAGGGTGTTGCAAGAGAAGGTTTCTGTTTCCTGAAACAGAAAACAGAAGCTATGAGCATCGAGTTTATAGTGGGCAATATCCTGGAGAGGGCAGGGCCACGTGTAACGCAGATGCTGGAGCCTACAGGCGCCACTGCAGCAGCAGTGACCGTCCCCTCTCTGTGTCCCAGGGTCCATCACCTCCATCCGCTCGCAGCCCGTGGGGACGTGCTCCTCCCTGAGGGTCCCCCCCGAGTCCCTCCATGTGGCTGTGCGCTCCCCCGGCCGCGAGGGCTGGCACCGCTGGAAGGTCCTTCCCCCGCACGTCGTCCCCCGGTCTCCTGCTCTCAACAAGCTGCTGTGCCGGCAGGTAAGAGGCCAGGAGCCAAGAGAGGGAAACCCCTGTAGTCACCTTGCTGTTTCTCTTCTTTTCCAGTTTTCTTGGAGCTGACAGCAGCATTCCTCTTTTTAGAACAAAATGTTTCTGGTTCTGTTGACATAAAATCACAGAACCATGGAATAGTTGGGTTGGAATGGACCTTAACACCCATCTAGCTCCATCTCCTGCCATGGGCTGGTTGCACAATGTTCTCCTGTACAGCCACGGTCTGATGGGAGCTGGCACAACAGCACAGTGAGGGATGCGTACACCCACCAACTTCTCTGCCACATGCAGTGCCACCCGGCAGACCCCCAGGCTCTCCTCATCTCCATCTCTCTCCTCCTTTTCCAGTGCAGCTTCAGGTTTACTATCAGAAAGAACAACTTCTCTGAAAGAGCGGTGATGCTTCAGCACAGGCTGCCCAGGGAGGTGGTGCAGTCACTGTTCCTGTGGAGGTGTTAAAGAACTACAGTGATGTGGCACCGAGGGATGTGATTTGCTGTCACGGTGGGGCTGGGTTGGGGTTGAACTTGGTGATCTTAGAGATTTTTTCCAGCTTTCATGATTCTCTGATTCCAGGAGGCCGTTTGGACAGACTCTGTGGACGGACACCCTCCAGACCCTAAGGACAACGTGCAAGCAGAGCATGGAGAGATGCCACCATCACCAAAGGACCCTCAGCACACCCTCACCCCCAGCCCTCTCCACCTTGCAGCCTCCTCCCTGCCGTGCTCCCCTCCACGCTCCCCACCAACCTCGCCACACCGGCACCCATCGCTGACTCGGAAACACTCCTGCAGCCAGCAGGGGGTCCCCAGTCCCACCGAGAGCCCCCCAAGGCCCCAGAGCTGCCTCCTGGAGCCCTCCGACCTGGCTGACGAGGAGGTTCGCCACATCAACAGCTCAGCCAAAGACTGGGGGGAGCACTCGGAGGCCGGGAGCTGCTCCACATCGCCGTTCGTCTCGCCGGCCGCATCGCCGGTGCCCTTGAAGAATTGCAGCACAAGCAGCCTGGCAGCAGGCAGCAGCAAGGAGAGGGACTTGAAGAAGTTTTACAGCATCGATACGAAGGGCTTCCTCACCAAGCCCAGCTGGGCGGATGACCAAAGGCGGCACTCCATCGAGATCTGCCCCTCCGTCCGCGATGGGGACTGCGGCTTCGAGGAGCGCGCCGAGGAAAAGCCGCGCTCCCCCGCCCACATCCAACCGGAGTCTGAGTACATCCATGGAGCCCGGAGGAAGAAGAAGATGAGCCCGCCCTGCATTTCTATAGATCCTCCCATGGAGGATGACGGCGGGGCGGCCTCGCGCACCAAACCCTCCGAGAACAGCATGCTGCGCCGCAGGACCCCGTCCTGCGAGTTCCCGGCGTACCGAGAGCCCCTGGAGCCGGCGGAGGCGCAGCAGGGGGAGCCGGGCTGCAAAGCGGAGCGCCGTGCCCAGCACCTCGCCATCCCCGGCTTCTCCTTCGAGCAGTCGGATGGCGGCGGCTCCCTGAGCAGCCTCTCGGATCTGCTGGACAGTGGGCGATCCACACCGGACTGCGAACTGAGAAAGCCGGAGCCCTTAAAAACTCAACGGAGCAACGCCGAGAAAAGCAAAGAGCTGCTCAGCGTGGCCAAGAGCCCCGTCCGGATGCAGGACTTGGTGACTGTTGCGACAGAAGAAGACATCGACGAGCCCGTATAGCTGTCTGGGTTGGGGGTGTGGGGGGTCTCAAGGGCTTGACACCGACGTGGGGTTGGACACAGAAGGGAATGCGCGGCCGCGTGGCCACGCTCTGGTTTTTCCCTTTCTTGCAGTCCCTTCTTCTTAAGCGCTGTGGAGGTTTGCAAAAAAAAAAAAAAAGAAAACATTAAAAAAAATTATTATTATTATTATTATTATTTAAGAAGAAACCAAACAAACGGATGAAACGGTGCCGGGTTTCGGGGCGGGGGTTCAGAGGGGGCTTTTCTAAAGGGCAAAGTGGAGGAGGCGGGGGGCGGCTCTCGGTCCTGTGCGCCCTCGGTCACATTGATCCGGGTGGTGGCGGATGGGGGCTGAGGGCTCTCTTGGTCACTTCGTTGTGGGGGTTTTTTTTGTTGTTGTTCTTTTTTTTTTGTCTGTTTGTTTCGTTTTGTTTTTAAAAAGATGCTCAACTTTTTAAAAGGCACTTTTAGAGATGTCACACGCCGTGAGAGCGCCCCGGAGATGGGAGCTGTACGTTGTCTGTATATCAGCAGTTATATAAATAGAAATAATGTATTTGTGAGATACAAAACAAGGCAAAAAAAAAAAAAAAAAGACAAAAAAAAAAGTACCCACAGGAACTCTTCTTCTTCTTCATAATGCACATATTTTTATAGAGAAACAATACTGTTTTTTGCATTACGTGTGACTCCGCGGCCGGGTGGTGTTTCCTTGGGTTTTATGTGGAACTGATTATTACAGCCGTTCGTTTCCCAAATGTTTCTGCTCCTCCTTTGCTCTCCTTCCCCCTCGTTCCCCCCCACCATCAGCCCACAGCTCCTCCTTTCGCCACCCCTTTCATTTTTCTTTTGTACTTTAGAGGTTGTGTCCTAACAACGGAAAGAAACCAAATCACTACTGAATTGTAGCCAGTGCAATAATAAGTTATTCATTCTTCTCGTCTGTACGATGGTCCTTTCGCTTGTTTTATTTTTTTCCCTCCTTCTTTTAACAGATATTCAGGTTAAACGCTGCAATAATCCGAAGCACCGTGCACAAACAAAGTGTCCTGCATCACACGCTAAAAAAAAAGGCAAAAGTTCAATTGGAAGAGATTAAAAAAAAAAAAGACAAAAATAAATAGTAAATTATTTAAGAAATGTATTTTGTTTCCTGCAGTTCAAAGCGAGTTGTTGGTACAGCATGTCGAGGCGCAAAGAGCTGCTGGTGGTGGTGGGCCGTGTGAGCAGTGGGATCTGTTCTCCTCCTGGTGGAATGCTGTGAGATCACAGTGGTGGCCGTAACCCCTTCTGTTCACAGTGGTAATCAGCACTGGTGAGGCTGGGAAAGGCCTCTCAGATCCCCAACCCCACCGTGACACCAAACCACGTCCCTCAGTGCCACCTCCCCGTGGTTCTGAGCGCCTCCATGGCACTGACCCATGGCTGGGCAGCACTGCCAGCGCATCGCCGCTATTCCAGAGGAGGAATTGTTCCTAATATCCAACCTGAACCCACACCCACACAGATGTGGTTCCTCTGCCACGTTCCAAAGCCTCTCGAGTTCAAGTCAACACCATTTTAATACTTTTTAATATACACATGTTTAGTTCTGGGGTTGATTTTCCGTTCTTAGCCTTCATTCCCTGCCTCTTCCCTGCTCCTCAGCCAGGCCCTCTGCTCAGGACAGCTTCACCACAGAGCACTGACATCACGTGTCGGTCGGCCCCAGCACTGCGCACCAGCAGCAAAAAGACACAAGGGAAAAAAACCAACCAACCAACAGAAAGAATTAAAGCAACCGTTTTCGTTTGGTTCATTCCATGCCGCCTCATATTTATGCATCCACATATATCTTCTGTTATTTATGCATTCATTACTCAAAAGGAAATGTATCTCGTTTCACATGTATTAAACTGTATAAACTGGAAGCCTGGCCTGACTTTGTGAGCAGCCCGGGGCCCCGCGCGGCTCTGTGCAACCAGCAGCCAGGGGGGATGACTGCAGTTCTTCCTTCCTGTTGGTTTAACGGGGGATTCTGGAAAAGCACCATCAAGGTAATTCCTAACAGCGCTCTGGGGGCAGTGGTTGTGTCCTTTTGAGGAGAGGAGGGGATGCGGACTGAGCCCTGAGCTGAGCACAGCGGTGCTGTGTGTCCTGTGGTGCTGCCATCACTCTTCAAAGCCCCGGGGGGGGACCCAGGTTGATGGGAGCCTGGCAATGGATGGAGGTCTGTCCCACAAAGCGCTGCTCTGCTCTGTGATTTCCAGTTGAGGCTCTGCAGTGGGCAGTGAGCTGCATACAAACCCATCTCCAACAGAGAGCAGCCATCTGCTGCCTGCTGCTGCTGACCAGGGGGTTCCTGCTGAGGAATAAAAGCCAGGTTGAGGCTGGAACATCTGCTGATTGGCCAACATGTGCTTTCCAAGGTAATTAATAATAATGAGGTCAAATCAGCAGCAGGGTGAAGCTCTGGGCTTGCTCTATGGCTCCCCCTGTCCATGTGGGTAGCCTGGAAGTGTTGGTGTTGCTGAGTGCAGCTCCTCCACCCCGTGCTCAGGGATGCTGCATCCCCAGAATCCCCCCTACAATGGGAACCTGACCATGTCTTCCTGGCTCTCCTTTTCTCAAAGGGATGAAATATCTGGAAGGACACAGTTGTGAGTATGGGAAGCACTCGCCTTGGTGTGCTGCGATGGCTGGGAGCTGAGCAGGCACAGAGGCAGCCAGAAAGAGAGGTTTGCTGGAACCCCACTGGGGCAAGCCCATGCTGAAGCACTCCACTGGTGGCTCTGGCCAACCACAGACCTCATTTCTGGCTGTGGGAAGCATTTGATTCCCCTCTCGAGTGCATGGATGAACTCAGCTCCTGCAGCAGGATGGCACGAGGAGAGTGCTTGGAGCAGGGGCAGCACCAGAACTGCAGCAGCTCCTATGGGGGGGGAAAAGACATCCCCGAGCTGCAGCCTCAGCAACAGATGTGGCCATAACCAACAGAGCAGAGCTCAGTGTTGCTCTTCCTGCTCACTGAACCTCCACAGCACCGAGCCGTTTCCACCAGGCTGCCTGCAAGGGTGGTGTTGCTGAAGATTGGAAGTGAAAAGCACCGGATGAATGTGAATTGTTACTATTTAAATGGATCGATCGCTCTTCTGCATTTTTAATTACCATGTGGCCAAAGTGCAGCCTGCAGGGACCGCGGGGAAGGCAGCAAGCGAGGACCTTGAGGCTGAATCTCGGATGGCATCGACCTGAAACAGCCAAGCTGAGGAGAGAATAAAAGCATGAGAGCAGCACAGATACGAACCATCCCCATGCAATTACAGACAGCCCTTAATCAATCAGTGCTGCGAGATCGCGCGGGTGGCACTGATACTAATAACTATTTGATGTTTGTACAATCCTCCTTAGGTTGAATAATCAAACTGACTTTATCCATTAAACCTTTGCAATTAAGCTTTAAATCCAGGGCTGTGTTTTAATGGCTGGGTCTATCGCTTCTTCTTGGCAGGGTTTTCATTCGGGATTTTGCTTGCAGACCGAAGCTTCTCCCACTCCCCAGAGCTGCTCACTCTTCCTGTTCCTCCAGCCCTGACCAAACCTGGAACGCAGCTCCTCAGTCCTCCTCCTCACCCTCTCCCCATTCCTGTTGGCATGCTAATTTATTCCATGGCTCAGATGGAGGCCCTAATTAATTTTCCTCATTAATCAAAAAAGAAAAAAGAAAAAAAAAAAAAAAAAGGTCTCACAAATGGAAACACGTTCCAATACAAATTAATTCTGAATAGAAAACCGTGCATCTCATAGCAATGCTCTGCAGCTGCTGTCAGAGCCGGACCCCAATCCCATCAATTACCCACCATAACGAGGGGTGGGCGCAGAACACCAAAGGCCGGCATTTCTGCTTTGGCTTTCTGCTGCTCTTTTCTGCTCCAGGCGGATATCGGTAACCATTCCTGGTTGCTCTGAGCTGCAGCCCAGGTAGCCGGCAGCCAAAACAAACAGCCACAAAAGGAGTGTTAATTAAACGGCTTCTCTTTGCAGCAACGGATGGCTGATCGGGAGCGGTTTTATTTTTCCCCCTGACAATTTTCGGATGAAATATATGACTTTCTTTGAAACCTTCCTGAGGGACACAAGGGAAAGGATAACATTGCGGCCATCCCCTCCCGTCCCTCCGCCTGGATCCATTCCTGCTGCCCGGCTGTTGTTTGCTGGGCGTTGAAATCTCGAATACAACCTGAAAAATCTGACTGAACGTCGGCACAGAACGCGTCCGTGGGAACGAATAATACTGGAAACCGTGGGGACGAAGCAGCTCTGTGACCCCGCGGGGTGACACCAGACCGCGTGGGAGCCCCAGAGACCCCCGACCCGAAGCGTTCCTTCCCACGGACAGCCCAGGCTCGGCTCCTTGCCCAGCAGCAGCACCTAGCGGCCGTTTCCCTGCGCCTGAGCGGCAGGAATGGCTTAGAAAGAGCCGCCCGAGTTCGGGAGGTTTCCGAGACCCCGCCCCGCCGTTCCGCGGAGCGCCGCGCCCCGATGAAGTTTGTCCCTTCCGCCGCTCCGTCCGTCCCCACGGCAACGGCCCCCGGCAACATGGCGGCCGCCAGCAGCCCCAGCGTCTTCATGGTGGCCGTCAACGGGCAGATCGAAAGCGGGCAGGTGAGCGGCGGGGCGGGGTGGGACTCGGAGCGGTGAGCAGCGCGGCCCAGCCCGGCGGCTCGGCCCCGTAACGCGGCCCCGGCTCAGCTCCCGTCCGTGACGGCGGGCCGGGCCCGGCCCCGCTAACGCAGCCTCTCTCCTGCAGTTCCCCGGGTTCGACGACCTCTACTGCAAGTTCTGCTTCGTCTACGGCCAGGACTGGGTTCCGGCGGCGGTGAGGCCCCGTTCTGCGCCCCCGGCAGCAGGCGCAGCGCAGGGCAGAGCTCACGCCGCTTTCTCCCCTCAGGGCCTGGAGGAGGGCATCTCCCAGATCACCTCCAAGAGCGACGTCGCACCCACCACCTTCGTCTGGAACTTCCCCATCGACATCACCTTCAAGAGCACCAACCCGTCCGGCTGTGGGTGCTGCGGGGTGGGAGCCAGCCTGCGTGCAGGGAGCCTCTCTCACAGCCACGTCTTTTGCAGGGCCGCAGATTGTAGTGAGCGTCTATGGACCTGATTTCTTCGGAAATGATGTGGTCAGAGGTTATGGAGCCGTTCACATTCCCTTCACGCCGGGAAGGTGAGGTGACAGCCCTGTCATCTTTCAGGGCTGAAATAGAGATGAATTTCCAAGGTACCGAATCATTTCAGAGACAAAAGCATCTCTGGATCTGCTTATCATGTCTTGTTCGTTTGGCAGAAGGCACGTGGAATTTCTAGCAGTAGTCCCATGTTATCCAATAGTTTTTGGCAATCCTTTAGGATTTTGGTACTCCTTAAGTTAGAACTGCCCAAAGTCAGCCCACAGATGAAGAGCAGTACGTTAGCTCTCCCCCCATTACTCTCAGCTTTCATTCTCACCCCTGGAAACTGACTCAGTTATGCTCTTCCTATGCAAGCAAACACTTTTGATACAAGTATTTTTTTTTTCTTTGTTCAGTGCTCTGATGTATCTGAATTGTTTTAGGCATAAAAGAACCATTGCTATGTTTGTTCCGGAGTCCACATCCAAGCTGCAGAAGTTTACAAGGTAATTATTTAAGACTGCTTATTTTTAAAGTTCATGGTTTTATTCACAAGCGTCTGCCCAGCTGCTCACTGATGAGTGTGTGTGTATTCTTTCATTCGTAACCAGACAGTTTTGAGCTATGGAGGTAAAGTCACATTCTCAGGTGTCTGGGTTTTTTGAAGCATTTTCTTAAATGCCTGTCTAACTTGTTGGGTTTTCATCCTCACATTTCAAAATTGTTGGTTTGAAAAAAAAGGACAGCAGTCTGGTACCTGAATTCTTTTACCACCTGTGTCCAATTATTTACTTGCTGTTCTCTTCTCCAAGTTGGTTCACAGGGAGACGTCCAGAATTTACTGATCCAAAAGTGGTAGCACGGGGAGAAGGAAGAGAAGGTAATTCTGCAGGAGCTCCTGCTCTAACCCTTGCATGACAGCATGCCACAGCCTGGCCATCTGCTTCTCCTCCTGGAAAAGCAGACCTGCCCTGTTACTGAGTCAGCAATGACTCAAAATTTGCTGCGAACCAGCATTATTCATGTCTTCTTTCTTCTAGTAACGAGGGTACGATCTCAAGGCTTTGTCACCATTTCCTTCAACGTCGTGACTAAAGATATGAAGAAGCTGGGCTATGATGTGAGCCCAAGCGACATGCAGAACCCCTGCCTGGTGCCTGCTACAGAAAGGATTCATAAGTACTGAACTCAGGAGTGAGATGGTCAAAGGTACACACAGAAGTTAAGCACCGGGGATTCGTTTTGGTTTTCTGTTTCCTTCAAATGGAAAATGAGCATCTGACTCAATTGAGAACATTTTACCTGACCTTCATTCTAAAAACAGAACACTAACCCATAAGGCTTTGGAGTAATTATGTAGAATATTATTCTTTCAGAAGGATACAGGTTGAGAAAACATATAAATTAATGCTGTCAGATCTGTTTAGCATTGTATGGGAACTGTTGATCAGGTCTGAACCTCTGATTGACCACCTGAGGCAAGCCATGAGCTGCAGAGCACAGGTGAAGGCAGTTCTCCTGTACTACCAGAAGGGGTGGAGCCTGGCTCCACCTCTCCTGGATCCCATTTAAGTGCTGACTGCCGCTGAGGAAGGATCTTTGTGGAGATTGCTCCCCTTGGAGTTTATTGCGAGCCTACAACAAAGGTGAGCATTTTTCATTTATTATCTTTCTACTGCGATAATCCTGCTTAGCCTCACCTCTGTACACCCATTGATTGTGTATCTCTGTACACCCATTGACTGTACAAGCATTTCTATGCATAATATTGGACTATCTCAGAAGAAGACCTGCCAAGTATTTTTGTAACAGCCTTTTTTACTATCTTTTTGTATTTCAAGAATAGGAAGATTTGTGGTTGTACTAATTTTCCTTTGTTGAAAACATCAGTGCAATCCCAGTTGTTTTTACTAATAATGCTGTGGTAGAAGTGGGAAATCATTGAAATTAGAGTGCTTTCCAAAGAAGAAGGCAGTATGGAAACGTTGCAGTGAGACACACGCTTTTCTCTGTGCCACACACTTCTGTCTGCAAAAGCCACAGCAGGTATCTTTGTAATCCCATGTAGTACTTAGCTGGTGCAACTAAATAAAGTAAAACAGTTGTGCACTAGAAACCAACCCTTCCACATTTTTAGTGGGTTTTTGTACTTCAGAACAAGATGATGACTCTTTCATTTCCAGGTTCTATTTCTGCATCAAGCTGCAGGAGGGGGGGGAAAAAAAAAAGACAGCTTATTTTACAAGTGTTAGAGAACGTGGTGTTAAATATATGCCTGCTGCATGCTTTTAACTTCTGAGAGAACAAACAGAATTTAATGTGCAGATATTGACTAAAAAGATAAACCTTGGAGAAGGATTTGAAATGAAGTTGCAGTCTCAGCCAACCAATCACGTGTGCTGTATTTAGCTCCAAGTCACACTGGTTACCTGAGGCACTGTGCTGTACAGGACAGTCAGGAGTAGCAGAAAAGACCACATTTGCTTAAGATGGTCTCTCCAGGCCAGCAGATCTTGGTGTTTCACACTAGCCAAGGTTCTAAGCTGCATGCAACATTTTTTAACAGCCTTCTGCCAAAATAATCATTCAGGTGACACACTGTTGTGTCAGTATGGATTCAAAGAAGAGAGATAGAGTGTGAGGAAGGTGCTTGTTTACACAGTTAATGTTTGTGTTTGCTGTAACTAGGTTTTCTCACTGCATAACCCAAATGAATGACCCAAACCATGTTATTTGTTACTGGTGTGTGTAGAAGAAATGTCAGTCAGGGCCTGAAGCAGTGATTGAGCACCTGGTGGGAAGGCAGGGCCAACCCAGGGGAGCTCAGGTGTGTGCAGTGCATCTGAGTGGCTGGAAGGGGTGGAGCCAGGATCCACCCCTTCTCACACCACATTTAAGGGTTGGCAGTGGAAGCAAAGCTGTCTTACTGGAGATTGCAGCCTACCTTCCAATGGTAAGCAGCTTTTTTGTGGTTTCTGCATCCTGTTCTGCTGTATTTGGGGTTGTTCTCACTTGCTGAAGCCTGAGACTTTGCTACTTAGCTGTTATTGCTGTACTTTCCATCACATTATAGCGTTACAGTGCGTGACAGGAGCTCTGAAACTATTCTCAAATGCCTTCAGTGTGAGGGCACAAAGCTGCTCCTCAGTCTGAACAGCTTCTTTTCTGACATCTTACCACAGCCTTTCACCGAATCCTCCTATGAGCTACTGTAATGCTCTTCCTGTGGGCTGAACAAACCCTACTGTCTACATGTTTTTGTTTCTGTCTTTCAGCTGCCTAGGTTTTGTTTCTGTTTGTGCCAGCATGGATGTTTCTAAGTCCTGAATCATCCAAGGTATCAATTGTACCTATAAGAACAGCACAGAAGTACATGCTGTGGTAAAATTGACTAATTGCCTAGTCATCTTCATATTTACATGTGGACATGTAACCTCACGTGTTTTGAGTGAATGTATCTGGAGGTAACTGTGAGAAGGGCTTACAGTGATACCACCCTGTAAGTGATCTACCAGGACCTTGAAACTGTAGGAACAAAGAGCCTCCAGAACAAATGCCAAGTAAAGCAGCCAAGTTAGATGTGGTTATTTCACACTGTGCTGTCACCAAATAAAGATAATTTCTGAAACAATAATATGAGCACTGGGATTTTATTGTGAGCGTCTGCATCTTTTGTAATATCGAAGTACTTCTCCAAATGGCCTTACAGATCTCTTTCATCTCTTTGTTTTTATTCTGGCTTGTTTTTGTTGGTGGATCCCTTTACTAGAAGTGTAGAACCAGTTGTTTTGGCAACTGTTGTGATCTCTCAGCTGAGTCACACTGGAATCAATATTAGTAAGTATTTCCTGCTGGCTCAGAAGAGATGTGAGGAATTTTTGTTTCCTTTTTAGAAGTATTTTGGAAGCAGTTATCGACAGTAGCAGGATAAATAGCTGTGTGTGAAAGACCTGGAACACAGACATTACCAGCTACCACTGCTTAAATCTCTCTCTTCCCTGGAGCACAGTTACCTGCCCCTGCTCCAATCAGAGCACGACTGCACCGCAGAGATTCTGCTCATGAAAAAATACAGTTCAAAGCAGATGAAATGCAAACTCCACGCCCAGAAGGCTGCAGTGAGTTTACCTGCATACAGCTTCACACTATGCCACCATCTGAAGTGATACCTGGTTGAAAGGTCTTAAAACATGCTCAGTGCATGGATGCTTTGCTGTAGGAACTCTTCAGTCTGACAGTCTGCTCCTTATGCAATGGCACATGTGGGGGTGATGTTTTCAATAACAGCTTCCTGAGTTCAATGCCATCTGTTTCTTCAGAAAGGTGACTGTTGATCTAGCTAATAAACACGTTCTCCCAGAGACAGGCTTGCTCCTGCCTTTATGATTTTCCGGACAACTGTCTCAGTTTTAAGTCTCTGCTCCTCAGCCATGGCAGAGGGTTTGCAGCTGTTTCACACTGGGGAGATTCTCTGCTCTCATGACAAAAGAACAGAGACACGATGCTGGGGCTGACATTAATAAGGTAGGGATTTATGGTCTGTAAGTGTTCGCTGCCGTTGCTGTTAATATATGAAAGGTTAAAGAACCCATTATTTGAGAACAGCCAAAACCCAGGGAAAAAAAAAAAAAAAGTTGTTATAGTGGAGGCTTGAAGTAATTTCCTTTGCTCCATGCTCCAGGCAGCTGTTCCCACCCTCATCATTTACTACTTAATCATTCTCCCTTCTCCAACCCTGGGCTGAAGTTCCCAGTGCTTGTAACACAGATGGTGGTACAAAGCTGTCAGCTGGCACTGCAGCCTCTGCTTTGTTCCACTTAAATCTCTCCCAGACAGTGAAATTGGCCATTAACCTCTTAATTCCACATAAAGAGTTTTTCCTGCTTATTTGGAACTTGTGTTCAGTTACCCTGCAGGTGGTGGGGATGTGAGTGCTAGTGCAGCAGCTGTTGGAATCTAACACAGCAATGGCAGTGCATGTGAGGGATTTCTAGTGAATATGCAGATCCCAGTTCCTCCCCCAGCATTCTGGCCAGGCAGACAACCCCAAAAACAACAGTGAGGATGGAGGTTATGGAGGTTCTTGCTGCTCCATCCAGAGCAGGGAACAAATCAAACTTCACCTGGAAACAAACCCCTGTGGAAAGGGCTCAGGACTGACTGTCCTTGTGCTGTGGGAGAGCTTTCCTGGCACCGAGGTGGAAGCTGCCCTGGAAGGAAGCAGTGAAGGATGCGGTCTGAACACTGACTTGAAAACCTGTCAGCAATGTATTTGCAGATCTACCAAAACCAGAAACAGCAGCATCAGCTCCTGCCCTCTCGTGGCAGTTCTGAGGAGGACGATATTGATCTCTAATAACAGTGAGCTAATAGCACTGTATGAAGGACACCTGAGTCATGCTCCCACGGAGAACTGCTCCATGCTGTGGTGCCAGCTGCTTTGGTCCTCGGGTTGCTGAGGCTGTTTTGCAACAACAGCTAGAAATTATCTCCATCTGAAAATGAGTGCCTTGCAGACAGATTCAAGCTGACAAGTGCTTCCCTGCAGCAGTGCTGGTTACAGAACAGGAGCCTCCTGAGGTACAAAACAGATTGAAAGTCAAGAGTTTCAGCTCCAACTCTGCCCAGCCCTATCACTGGCAGCATTTCAGCCCAGCACCAAGCAATCCCAGGATGGCCCACCTGGGTCTGGCAACATCATGTCAGGACTCCCTCCTTCCAGCCCTTTCCCATTTCCCCAGCAGCACAGGCAGATAGCACCAAGCAGCAGAGCCTGTGCAGGATGGCTGCAGAGCATCCCTTGTACTCAAGGTTTGTGGTACATTTCCAGTACCCAGCCATCTTTGGAGCACAGACATTAGAAAGCATCTTTTGGCCACTGAAGCCGAGACAAAGGCCATGCTGCAACAGCACAGTGAGAACAGGAGACTTTCCCTACTGGCTGCAAACATTTTGGTCTCTTGTCCTTCAGCAGGAAGATTAGCAGAAGCATCTAGATGCAGCAGGCTTCTATTTTTATACCTCTATTCAGGTCAAGATATTTAAGTATCCAAATTCACCTCAGAGAATATCACTACGTTTAGTGCTAGACTTGCTGATGAAGATAAATTTTAAAAAAATTAAAAATTAAAAAAAACCAGCACCACCCAACACAATACCAGCCAGTCCAAGGTCTCCCAGGTAATACACCATTACACCAAGTCAAAACTGGTTCCCTTCAGCTTGGCTACCCCTCTGACTTACATTCCCCACCCAAAAAGCCCTTACAGAAAACCAGAGACCCCACTGAGAAAACAAACTCCACCTCTACTATTGCTTTAATCCAGCCACTTGAAATAGCACTGACTTTTTTTCACCTGAGGATGGGAATGCACTTGCTCAACCAGTGGCACAAGCACTGAGATCAGATCAGCAATGCACCCAGGCTGCTTGCATCATGCACTGTTTGTGACCTGCTGAGCATCTGCTCTCTGAAAGGGAGGCCAAGTGCCTGCGCTCTGCACCACAGCTGCTGGCTATGGAGATGTTCAGATGCATTAGAAAGGCCCTGCACTTCAACAGCAATGTTTGTTTCCATGCATGCCCTAGCCAGCAGTTCTGCCATGAGGATTCCACCAGCACGCGTGGCTCACTGACTGGAAGTTGTACCCACTGGCTGTGTTACACTGGTAAGCTGCCAATCTATTGATCACCACACTGCTGCCAATTAGCCACCTGATAGGTAATGAGCAGGGAAGTTTAAGGCAGCAAAGGGAACAGAGAGGGAGATTTCTAATCGTTGAAGCCTGAAGTCTTTAACAATTAGAGGGTATAATCGATTGACACTAAGAGGCTGGGTTGCTACCGCCATATATAACACCGGCTCTCAGTTATTGATAACCCTGAGCTCCAAAACCATCTGCTGTCCTTACCAAAATCAATGTTCATTGGTGTCCCAGCTCGAAATACAGAGAGGACATTACCTGGAAGGCAAACAATAGCTACGTTTTTCAGAAAGAGGAAGTTTTCAGCATGAGGGACTCTGGTTCTCAGAAAAGTGGATTGCAGGCAGCTGCGGAAGCCTTGCCAAAGCCAGAGCACAAGCTGGCCACAAGCATTTCCCCACAGCTCACTGAAAATGAGCGGAAGAGCAAAGCCTGCACCACTCGCAACCCAAAACAAACAGGAGGCAGTGGCAATGCACACACTCAGCAGAAATACTTGGCGCTGCTGGCAGGGCAAGCCTCTGCACAATACTTCATCCAGATAGCCCTCTTCCTCCCCAAAAGCAGGCAAATAGCACCCTGATTCACCCTGAGAAGAGGAAGAGGAAGCCTGTGGCAGGGAGAAGGCAGCTTGCCCAAGGTCAGAGGAAGCACAGGCACAGCCACAATCTCTCCCAGCAGCATTATCAGCTCTGCCCTCCTCCAGCAGTCCTTTGGCTCGCAACAGGCTGCAGTACTCGGCTCTTTTTGAAGGGTTTTATAAAGTCACCACAAAAGTTTCCATTTCAAACCTTTCTGCAATCTTTCCTGTAGCAAGCAGCGTTACTTCCAAAATACATACAATTTCAAGAGGCCAGAGAAAGAACAGTGAAGAGAATGGTCAGAGGAGCAATAATAAGGCACAGGCACAGAGAACTGTTCTGCACAGGAGCAGAACATGAGCCACAGGACATCCGTCTGTAAAAATGAGAGCTATGAAAATCAAAACATGTTTTGGCTGTCAGCTGTGGCAACACAAGTTTCTCTCTCTTCCTTTCAGGCCCCAAAACAGAAGCAAAATGAATTAAAGACCCGACCAGAGGCGAACTCGCTCTCCAGGGAAACTGGAATGCTACGGAAGCGGTGGGTTTGTGAAACACCCACAGCAAGCTCTGTGCCACAAATCCAAAACCGAATCGTTCACAGACCTGATGCTTCTTTCCATGCCTGCCTCGCCAGCTGCCAGGTCTCTGACACCACTGCAGCTTCAGCCCGAGAAATTATTTGATTGCTGATAAGTCTGACTGGCAGCAAAGCACAGCTACAGGAAAACTGGGGGAGCTCTGGAGAGGCAGCTCTTGAGATAGCCCGACAATGAAGTACTTTCCATTTAAACCATCCCAAATTAGAAGCAGAAATCACCTCCCAGCTGGAGGCAAGCTTGCTGCTGCCCAGCACAGGGCAGCTCCATTGAAGACGCAGAGCCATGGCTGCAGGAAGGGCAAGGCTGAACCTTTTGTTTGAAGGCAGAACAGGAGGCAAAGGCCAGAAGTCAGTTCTGTCACAGCTCCCCCAGCCCTTATTCCATGAGTGACTGGCTTCACAAGCGAAGTTCTTCCCAGCCTTCTGTCTCAACATAAACACTAAAGCCTCTGCGGGGAAGTAGCTTATCATTCCTCTAAAGATGCTGTTTGAACAGTGATGTGGTTTAAAGAAGCAATTCAGTCACCTGCAACACAAGTCTTCCATTTTTATTGAGTTAGTAAGATCTCAACTGGTTCTGAATTAAGTCTGTAAGAAATCCTCCTTTCTCATAGCAAAAGCAGGCTTGCCCCAGGAAAGCCACGAATTCATTGAAGGAATCACATTGACAATACACAAGAAGCATCACTCTCAATAACCATCAGATTTCTCCTAGAGCCTGGGACTTTCAAAAGCACAAACCTTCATCATCTCAACCAACCCATCAACCTCCTTGAAAACTAAATCAAGCATGGCAGCAACCAGTTTGGAACAGGATACAAACGCTACGCAGAGTCTGGAAAAAGCAACACGTCTGGAATATAAGCAATACAATTTTAATTCTGACCAGTCACCTACAAACCCCTCGTCTTTCCACTGCTCTGATGGCATTATTAAATATCACATTCGTGACATCGCTCGGGAAAAATGACACAAAGATACAGACATTATGATACAATAGTACAAATGATAAATTATTTATACAGTAAATAATGTCAATAGTCAGCACAAATTCATAAAAAGCAGCCGGCTCCCAGTATTATGAAAACAGTTTGGTAAATATTTAAATTGTAACACTTGTAAAGGAAGTGAGTCTTGTGAGATTCTGCTGTGAAAAATAAACCATATATTTCTCCACAATCTGTGCAATATTAATACATACAGTACACATTAGAAACTGTAACAGCAAAAGGGAAGATGGATAACAATAGTTGTCTCAGCTACGGGACTTCAAAAAGACTGTAAACACCACAACCCACCACGGTTTTCCTTCCCTGTCCCCTCAATGTAGTTTAGTTTCTATATAGTATAAAACTGAATAAATAACTGAGCTTATTTTGGGTTTAAAATTATGCCAAGATTTTTTTTTTTTTTCTTTTTACAAAATAATTAACACTTTATCTTTGGTCAATTTGACCAGTAAGGCTATTCTGGGATACTAACATTATTTATTTATTTTTTTTTTAAAATCAAAAGCACTTTTAATATCTGCAAGTGAGAAAAAGAAGGGGAAGAGGGAAACGCATTTGGAGAAACAGGCCAGAGCAGACACGATCAGATGCACACACATCCCCCAAGCAGGAAGAGGTGGAGGCGGGGAGGAGTATTCTGAGGAGCAGATAAACTATCAGGACATGGATTCACCCTTCTGGACACAGCTGAAGCTTCAGCAAGGCAGGGGCAGAGCCAGGCTCCAGGCTGGGATGTCGGCAGAGCAGAGCCCCCAGCCCTGCAGCACCACTGCTCCACACTGCCCTGCCACAGGCTGCTGCGCTGCGCAGCTCCGCGCAATGGGAAGCGCTGCAGCTCCTGCAGAAGTGGTTTGGTGCGAGCAGAAGTTGCCAGCCAGCAGTTCCATTACGCCAGGGCTCCCCACCGGACCGGCGTGGCGTTTGGATCAGTTCACGGTGACGGATGGTTATCCTGAACTACAGAGGACTTTATAATTTCAAATACTATCAACCCCATCTGGCCTCAGAAAACAGTCACCTAGTGTTAAACGAGAGGCTGTGATTAGAACTGCTTGGCTGAATAGATAACGCCCCATCTAGCTGTCACAAATGCGTTCAAGGGACTGACTAAGGGAAAAAAAACATCAAGTGACCTCAATTTCACTGTTGATAAACTGGAAAAATAATGAGAGATAAATCTTGCCACAGATCAATTGGAAAGCACTTCCCCCCCCCATCTGCAAGAATCACACCCTTCCTGGTCTAAACTTTTCAATAACTCCAGCAACAACAAAAAAGTAAAGTATTTTTTCCTTATTCTGAAAGGCAACATGAATGTTTTTTCTTTTGTTTTTCTAAGAAGACATACTGGGTGTGGACAGCCATTCTTTTTCCTCTCCTACGAAAACACGAGCAGATGAATATCCTGAATCCTACTTGCAAATTCATTAGTATCAAGAGGATAGAACAATCTGCATAGAAACATCCACATGTTTAGCATTCCATCTACTAAAAGAGCTACACTGACCTACACAGCTAAACTCTGTGATTGTACCCTAGATTTGATAGTCTTTCAGCCTCCCTGCCCACCACAAGATACAACCAGCAGCCAGCCCTTCCCTCTGCAGCACCCTAGGACTGTCCCACTCAGCATCACTGCACCAAGACATGAAACTGGCAATCTCTTCCAGCTTTGTTTGTCCTCCTAACTAGGGAAAGGCCACCAAGATGCATCAGTTCATCCGGAGACGCCCTCGAGGCAGGAGCAAGCACTGGGACCTCCCTTCCACACTCTCTGCACACGTTTGCATTGCTTGCGAGAGCAGAGCTCAGAGCACTGCCACTCTGAGCAGCCAGGTCTGCACCAGAGACACGGGCTGAAACCTGAGTGTGGTTTAGTGCTGATGAGTCCAGACATGCAAGTTAAAATGTATAGTTCAGCTTACAGTGAGTAAAAGCAACCGGATATTAATATGGAGCGCACCTTTCATTAAGAAAAAATTAGTCCATACAATTAACGAGCTGTGCCTGTACATTAGAACTTTAAACATCTGAAGAAGAAATAAAAAACGACAGCCTCTCTGCTGCTCTTTGTGAAGGCTCACGTCTGTCCGTTGTGGTCATCGGAAACAGGAACAAACCAAGGGAAAGGAGACTTTAGTGTTTGTTCTTTTTAATGTAGTCTTAAATCACGTTACGTTCAAATTCAATTCATCTAAAAAATAATTAGTCGCGAGGATTTGTTTTGAACTGCATTATGAATACTTCATTTAAAAGTAAAATATTTTAGTGTTAATCTTCCCTTTTAAACTCTCTTTACAGAAACGAAGAGCTAAAACCATAAATAAGAGGGCATTAAAACCATAAAAATGACATTTGCCAATATCTTAATTTTTCAGCCAGACTTGATAAATCTATCAAAACCAGACAGTTAAATAAGAACCACATTATAAAAATTAGCAAAAAAAGGACTATCAGGTAACTCTGCAAACTCAAATATGAAACTGTACTAAACAAAATATGTGCAAAAGTATACAAGAGTAACTGCATATAGCAAGGTTAAGCCTGAATTAGTTTTAAAGCTTGCCACGGTGAAACTGAATTCAAAGTTGTCCCACTGTATTTCTTTTTTTTCTTTCAACTCACATTGTAAGTCAAATAAAAACAAAATACACGTAACTTCCAAACGAAGCTGGTACTGGACAAGCACAGAGCAGGACACTCACTCAGCACGAGTGCAGCATGCCACTCACAGAGAGTTCCTCAGGAGTCCTTAGAGTAGTGTACGGATTCAACACTGCATACAACAGCACACGTTATACTCGACAACTTGCAAATGTTCTTGGGTTTTCTGTCTGCTTTTTCCTTTTGAGACAAGCTTGCTTTCTCGCTCAGACCTCTGATACCAAAGCAGTGCGATTTTGCGTTGCAATGTTTAATGCATAAAAACCAGCCACCTGGGCCCTCCGAATCATTCTCTTCTAAGAGTAAGGACTATGGGTGAACCAACAGTCTAGAACTGTGTACAGTTATGTGCAAAACATTCACTAGCACTCTGAATCTCAGGTCTATCGTATGGGCATAGGAAGTGACAGATGCAGGTAAATAGTAATTTCAGGATCCAGCACATCATCTGACATCTACAAAACAGCCAACGGAGTTTAAAATGGCAGGTTCTCCCTAGAAAGTGTATTGAAATGATTAACAAAGTAACAAAATGGGCAGAATCTAACTTTGGTGAAAAGTCTGAACATTTCACATAATGCTCAACAAGCCAAAGTAAGGTACCATCTGTAGCAAAGACTAGATTTAGATTAACTGGTAAGTAGAGACAACTCTTCAAAGATCATAACTGTAAACTGCAAATCTACTTCCAAGTCTCTTACACACCATTCAGTCCACACAGGCCACGTTTGTTTCGCTGTAAAGACTTCAGCCTGGAAACACTATGAAAAGAAAGTTCCTTTAATTGGGTCTTTATAGGAGAAAAGGGTTAGTTGTATTTGTAGACTGGGATACTGATGGTGGGATTCCTGTACTGTGAAGAGGTTGGGTCATTGATCCTGCAATGCTCACGTTCATCCCCTGGCCCATCCTTGTTATGGATGCCACAGTGCCCATAGCTGGTATCGGTGCCATTCCCACAGGCACTGGGGCCATGGAAGACAGAGGTATTGGCTCCATGCTTATTGGTGGCACAGCACTGAAAGAAGGACTGGTTCCCATCACAGGACTTGCTCTCATCTGATTCAGAGTGAGTGGCTGAGGCTGATTCACTTGGAAGGGGTTGATTGGAGTTGGTGCTGTAGCTGCACCTAGTTTTGAGAGAAGGGGGGAGAGGAAAGAAGATCGCACCTCCATAAATGCTGAGGTTTTGGAGATCACCTTTTCCAGCAAAAAACGCTCCTTCTAGACATGCTCCCAATCCCAAGTCACCCAGTGGATGCCACTCAGCAGGCTGGTGCACACAGTCTGTCTCATTCAGCCCACCTACGCCACAGAACGTTCATTTACTGACCGACTGTTTCCACTTTTGCTGACAGTAACAGAAGTAACGGGTTCTAAATCAAACACGACTACCTATGAGGTTATTTAATTTAAACAAACAAAAAAACACCTTAAAATTTGCCTTTCAAAGGCTATTCCTACTCCCTTTCTGCAGTCTAGCTACTGCAGATCTTCAGGATCTCTTCCAGTTCACTCCATTTAGAAACTGTACATGTTTCTGGCACTGAGCTTTGACAAGAATTCATAAAGTAAACAAGTTGTTTCCGAATTACAGCGGTGCTAGAAAAAGCAGAGAATGACTTTCCCAGCATTTGAGGTTTTTTGGGCTGCTGCCAACGCTACAAATTCCTTTTACCGTATATGCAGTGTGATTTGGATGGCCCAGTGACCCCTCACAAACTTTTTGTAGTAACTAGTAATGGCAGATGCAGAGATTTTTTCTGGTTAAGCACTGCCAAGTTCCTCAGAATTGCTGCCTTTTTCTTTACTCGAGAAGTTTAACAAACTGTTGTGTTTTTTTTTTTTTACCCTGCCAGAAAAGTGAAGAAAATAGATCCTGAAATACCATTTTAAAGTATTTCATCACACCAATGTCACACAGAAATTTTAGTGCATGAGTAGCTTTTAAAAATACACACATCTTCCAAATGTTTACTGCCACCTTCTGAGTTCACTCAAAGTAAAGGTTCACTTAACAACAGGGTAACACTGTGAGTGTATTTTGATCAAAACTGGGTTACCATGCTTGCCTACAGACAGCCTAACACCAGCAGCCTAACCAGCAGCCCATGAGAATAGACTTGGAGCCTAAGTTGGAGTCAGAGATACTAATTTGTTGAGCACCAGTAGGAAAAGAGCTTGCTACAAGAATCTACCACCTACCAGTCTCCCAGCAGATTGTCTGGTGGCACATGTTCATGTCTTACCTGTTCTGACAATCAGTCAGTTTCAGTCAGACATTTTTAATAACCAAAAGTCTTCCTCTAACTCAGATGCTTTCAAGAGAGCAAGCGAAAAATTGGAAGAAAGCCTGCTTGAACAAAGCTAGCCCAAAGATCAGCTGCAGGCACAGGGGTAGAAACTCTAGGCTTTCAACAGCAGCACGCCTAGAAACCACGCTGTCCCACCCTTCTGCTCCCAATCATGATCTGCTGGCTGAAACAACCAAGAAAAACCAGCCAAAAACAGCTTACATTAAACCAATTGGGAATGAGTTATGCAGAGCTTTCCTATAGGAAAGATAAAATAAAACAACTGAAGGAATGTGCAGAAACAGACCTGGTGCCAAAAATGGATTCAGCGAAGTTACAGGTTGCGGTGGCTTAGACACCAGTGAATCCAGGTTCACCAGAGCAGCATTGGGGCCCAAAAAAGACTCGGGGGTTTTCCGAGCTGCGCTCTGTTTGCCTGATGTCATGCTTGAGTGTTGGGAATCAAAGAGATCAGGACTTGTGGTACCGCTATGCTGGGACGGCAAAGTGGAACCCGATTCAGCTGTAACAACACAAAGAAATAAACAACACTTATCTCATTGATTACATCAGCAAGCAAAGAAAACCCTGAGGTCTCTGACAAGGGAAATATTTTAAAATCTAACATTCATATAGGTCACCTTTAAAGTTCAAGTACACACAACACCCTTTGTATGCAAGCAGATACACTTTTACTGTTATTTAGGAGAGTATGAAGAAGCTGCAGTAAGAGTTGCAGTGCTCCTCAGAATACCCAGCCCAATTTGCCCAGGTGGATATTCCTGTAACTATGTTGCAACTAGGAATTTCCAAGGAAAAGAATACTCAAAAGCTTCCATTTCTGCCCCTGCAACACCCCACTGCTGTACCCCCTGTAACCAGATTTTGCTCACGTTTTCTCCTTGTGTTGAAGAAGCCCATCCTAGTTTGACTCAGTCACCAGCATTTCACTCAGAACCTTCCTTACAGTACATATTACCAAAGCACACACATGCTATGGTTTGGCAGTTTTTACTTAGTGGATAACTGTCAAATCACAACATTTAAAAAAAAAAACAAAAAACAAAAAACCACCCTAACGCATTCATAGAAGCGTATTTCCTCATTTTCCTACCATCACACATTGCATGTAACTTACATATCTGAGAAATTTAGTCAGCACAGTTCTGTTTGACCATACAAACCATATTCCAAACACATCAGACGCCAGGAATACAGAAGCCAAGCAAATTTCTGGGCTGACCCAGCAAAAGGCTGCAGAGTAAAGTTCTGTGGCTCACAAGGCCAGAACCAACTCCCCATGAGCTCACGCACAGCCCAAAGCGTTAACAAGCCCTTATAGATGCATTACCACCAGCTTTAATCTTTGCTTATGTGAAAGGCAATGGGGTTTCACTTTTTTACATAAAATTCGAGAAGAAACACAGTTGTTGTTTGAGACTATACCCAAATTGTCTGCATGCTAAGGATTTAATCCATACCTGGCTTTTTGGAAGTTCGAAGTGTGTCGAATTCAGAAAAATCATCTTTAACTATACCATTCAAATTACTGAAGAGGTCAAAAGATGTACTTCCTGTTCAAAACAGCAAGAGAGCTCTGTTATTAGCTGATCTTTGATTGCATCACACATCTGATCCTACCGAAAGCAATTTCTAGCCACTCATGTTACCAGGAAGCCACTCTGTCGGGTCCCAGGGCAGTGGCTCAGAGCAGCCAGAGAGCTCCTGCTCTTATGAAGGATCAAGGAGAAGGGTAATGGCAGAGAATTCTCCTCACATTATCAGCTGAATGATTCACAACAATGTGCTTTTAATCACAATGTAATGCACACTTTAGCATGCTGGGTTTTTATTGCACTTAGAGCGGCCCAGGCAGGCAATGATTGCTGTGGAAGAAGAGAGAGCAACGATTTCACAGCCCGAACTCTGGAATGTGTTGATCAAGAAAAATACACTTCTGAATATGCTTCTAAACACCAACGTAGTGTCACTGTAAGTTCAGACTTTACTTAAAAGGAGGAGGAATGCAACAGTAAAAGTTACCAGTACCACCTAGAGATGGTGAGGCTCTGTTAGCTGAAGCACTGACACTCAGCAAACAGTTGTAACAAATGAAAACAAAACATCTTCAAAATGTAGACACACCCTTGTCTCAAAATGGGGAATGAAAGCCACACCTAAATGAGCAGCAATCACACTACTGAAAAGCTTTGCCCTTTGCTTTTTCTTTTTGCATTCAGCAGAATGTTCTTTTCATTTAGTTTTAACCTCCAACACATTTCAAGCAAACAGGGGTACAGACCTCAGCTCTGTAAACAGCACAAAAAAGACAGCAACAAAAACAAAAACCAACAAGAAAGAGAACAAGCAAGATTCTACATAACAGAAACACTTACAGAGAACGATCACCACAGCTAAACAATCCCATAATGATCCACTTATATTCCTCAGCCAAGGCAAAAGTGTGTTAGACAACTTTGCACAATATCCGCTTTGTGACTCTTTGTTGGTTAAGCACTGGGATGAATGACTGGCAGAAAACGCATTTCGGATGTATTTCGCCATGGTGCCAATATGGAAATTCCAGGTACTGAGACTCATCAAGGCTGCATTAGTTACAGAGCATGAACAGACAATTCTATCAGCACCTTCTTGCTGCGCAACAGTTTAGGAGCAGATTTGACACCCTCAGTCTGAAGCAAACCTTAATTTGCACCTCTAAAAATCTCAGCGTGTGGAGCTGCTTAACCTGTCAATCTGTGTCAGCAGAGACATCCATCTGCACAGCCATTTATCACGGTGAAAGGTAAAATTATAGCAACATTCATTTCCAGAAATTAAATCCTTGTCTAATTAAAAATAAAACTCATTTAAAAATGCAACGGCAGCAACAGTTATAACAGCTCGGCATGCATCCACACATACTGATAGAAGAATGTAAGAGAGCACTAAGAAAGCAGCAGCACAAACTCAGAGCTTCAAGTTAATCATATCTGAAGTTCTTTTTGCTGCTAGCTATAGTAACTCCTGTTTATCTCAAAGAACAACACTGCAAGTTGTTCAGCACGTTATTTAACTAAGCAATACAAGAAATAAACAGTCATTCAGATTTCACTTCTTCACTCAAATAAACACATATGGAATGAAACAATTGCTCACCAGAAGTAGAGAGGGGTTTGTTTGCAGGTGCTGGTCCCCAAGGATCCACCGAAGATTTTGCTGCAGTAGAAGATGGCTGAGCAGGAGCCCACGGGTCAACATTTTTGGACAGAGACTGAGTTGCAGATCCTGCTGGTGCTGCCCATGGGTCAACAGAAGCAGCTGGTTTGGCACCTGCAAAAAAAGCCAGCAGCAACACAAGTCAGTGCAGGTTCACTCTGGAAAGCTTTCCTAGGAGATCAAACTCTCATTTATGAGCCATTATTGCCTACTAATGCTAAACACAAAAAAGGTGAAGCAATTCAATATCAGGAACACCAATCAAGTCTCAGCATCTATATTACACATGCAGAAGAAATAAGCAAACTAAAGCCAGTGGGAGACAGACGAATAACACTAAGCTCCCATTTGAAACTGAACTTTAAAAGACCTGCAGTTCCAACAAGAAAACGAACACACCTGTGCTGCAGAACTTGCCATCTCAACAGAGAGTATCTGACTTGCAGCAATCCACAGCACAGGGGATACTTATCAACTCATACACAGAAGGTTTCTAAACAGCCTTTGGGAAAGATACGAAATATGTAACCTTAAGAGTCGAACCAAGACCTGCCAGATGCAGACAGCACAACTGTCAGATTCTTTTCCACAAAAGTGCTGCTTTACAAAAATATCAGCTGGTTGTGCTTTCTTTTAGTAGATGAATATTCATTTCCTTTCCCAATGAAATTCGGACACAGTTTAATTAAATTAATTAAACATAGTTTAATTACTGCAAACAACTGTATGATCCAAGAGAAGAACAGAATTACCCCTGCAGTACACAGCTGATGCCTTTAACCACCCCGTGGATTTCAAATCACAACTAGCACTGCTTTATATATTAAAAGTACATACACCCCCCCACCCCTTTCTATCACAATTCTGCACTGCACATGCAGTACAAAATCCAATTTGCAATATTGGTCTTTGTTTCATCAACAGGTGGCACGGCCTTGCTGCAGCTTCAGATCAGGAAATACTCCAAATAAATCTAACTATTCCCACTCCAGTACTTAGATTTCCTTTATCTGCCCTCAGCGCTGAGTTACAAGCGATGCCACACAAGAAATGCTAATGGCATGGCTTCCCATAAACGGAAGCTTTCAAAAAAGTCTCTTCCTTCATAAAGAGAGCTTACAAAATGAGAGCACTCAGGAAGACACCTTCCCTTAGCTTCCATTATCTCTGCTGAAATGCCAAAGCACAAGCAGGATTTGAGAAATACTGTTTAATGAGTCACTCTTTTATTAGTAGTCAAATTCATAAATCTCACATCTCCACGACTGCCCCTGGGAGCCAAGCAACCAGCAGGCTGGAACAAGGGGTTGTTATATGGCGTTAATAAAGTCGGGAGCCACTGAGAGGAAACGCTACAGCTGCAACTGATGCAAGGAAAATCTTGTCAGAGGGTGATACATTGACTACAGCACTGGAAGGAGGTGGGTTTTGTTTGTATTTTAATCGTGCAAAATTAAACCGAATTTCCATTACATTGGCGCCCAAAACTTTGACTTGTTTAATTTTGCACTTGCAGTTTTTCCACCAATGGAGTCACAAACTGCACTTAAACAACGAACTGCAGTTGTGTCCTAGCAGCCATGTCAGTGCTTTTAATGCCCCATGAGAAAAACAAATGCACTTCAGTATTAAACTTCAAAACTCGTCATGACTACGGAGGGAAGCGCGCTGACTCCTCACACAACCAACTTTGAAGCATGTTATAGCAGAGCTCCTGGAAACACCAGTCTGAAGCAGAACTGACAGAACTAAGCTGTAAGTCTTCAGGAAGAACCATCCTCCTGCACAAGAACATGCAGAGTTGTTCCCTGTCCCCCACAATAGAAAACCAAAGCCAACCAAAAAATAGATTCAACTGTGATTCCATAGACAGTTTAACGTCTGCTGTGAGGAACCATCAGCTTTCCAAAGCAAAGGAGTAAATCCTTGGGGGGACAGCAGAGGCAGCAAAACAAGTACATACACAGCAAACGTGCAACACCTGGAATTATTGCTCTTTAACACGAGAAACAAGGATCTTTCCCTTCAGAAAGAAATCCCACAAATTTAGTATCAAAGACTTGTGAGACACTGAGACTATTCAAGAGAGTCATTTCAATTTTTCTTTAGTCTAATAAGTAATTAAATTCCAACAGGTTAGTCCATTTCATTCTGATGGTATACACATCCCATTTCCCTAGGAGTGAGACTTGGCAATTCAGACCTTCAGCTTTCCTAGCCAGAGCATCCTGCTTAAGCACTATACAACACTAAATGCTGGCAGAAGTCTACACCCATGACACTGGACACAACTAGCAGCCAAAGCGTGAGCATCTCCCCTGGGTGAGATGAGCTGTTTTGGCTGCACAAAGAGAAGACAAAAGCTTCACTCTTCTCCCTTTTCTTAGGATTCAAAATGAGCCCACGAAATCTCAGCTGCTTAACAAAGATGGAAAGGATTGCAACTTGCATTTGTTTCTGCCTGAAAATGAGTTAAGAGGAATGTTAACTCTGGAGTCCAGGAAGCAACAAAAACGGACTAATCCATTTCTGTTATCAAGCATGACACTGTGCACTGCTATTGAGAAACCTGGAAAAGTTCAACATTGAAAGGCAAGCACTTTTAAGACAAACGTTCTTTCTGGCAGAGTTCATTCTTACCAAACGATTGCCATGGGTCAGAGGCAGTAGCTGCAACTGCGGATCCTCCCCAGGGATCCGTTTGGTTTGCAACAGCAGCAGGAGGTCCCCAGGGCTCTGTTTTCTGTGGGGCCGGTGCCGACGAGGGCAGGGCATCCATTAGGTCCAAAAGAGTAGTATGCTGAGGGCAGGAACAATCTGAGCTTTAATCAAGAGCATTACCGACCTGAAGTACAAACCCATGAGCGAAGAAGCAATTTATTTTTTTTCTCCTTTTACACACCTGCATTGACCAGTACTTTGAAATTTAACCCGCGGGGAAGAAGTTTTAAGCTATACAACAAAGCAATCCCAAAAGCATTAAAATGCTCAGTATTAAGCTATTTTTGTGTTACTGTATTTCAGCTTTTGGCAGCGTAACCGGGAATTTCTTAGTTGAAGGCACTACCTCCTTCTTTTTGGGAATTTTAATTGTGTCTCTGCGACTCTCCTCCAGAGCCATCTGTAATCTCAGATCATCTCCGCGTCTGAGGCGCTCCTCCTGCAAAGGAAATCAACACTGTTGATATAGACCATGAGCCTAGACTGTGCTGCCTGCTCCCTCCGGCGCGTGGCCCCGCTGCCAGGACAGCACCGCCGGCCTCACACTGTGCTCATCTGAACCCAGCAGGAGAACAGAGCTCCTGTGATTCTCAAAGCTCAGGAGCTCCCTGACCCCGCGCCGGCAGTGCTGCCACTACAACGTGCGTTTTGCTGCTTGAAATCTACCCTTGTGTGGTTTTACTCCTAATGGGAGAGCTATAAATGAAACGTTCGCATTCAAATCAGCACTGAATTGTGTAGTGATTTAAAGTCTACTTCTGCTGGCTTTTGTCAGCAGCTCTCTGCAACCTACATATATCGACCCATATATCTACAAAGAAATCCAAGTGAGTTAATCCAGCCAATTCCACATGTATTTTGTAGGTTTTTAACATCTGTCAACTACCAAATTGATGGTAGATTCAACTACTGCAAATATTTTTGCTGTGCTTTCACTTGGTCTTTCAGAAGTTGACTTACTCCACAACTGCCATTTCTCTCACAGTTTTTTAAGCTATTTCAACTGAGGTATTCTGATTAGTTCTTTCTTTAATTTCATTGCTTAGCAACAACGAAGTTTACAGGGTAATAACTTCCTTCTCCAAGCACAGAGATCCTGATGTGAAGATACAGCAGTATACTACACTTGTTCCAGGAAGCACTGAAAAGTATTATGGACACTCAGCATGGCAGATGTGAATTTCCACTCAGAGCTGAGATTCAACAGCTTCATTCTATATTCACATGCAATAAACTTTACCCACAATTACAGCATTTACTCCAAATTCAGAATGAACCTCTTGAGACTTAACAAAATAATGTAGCAAGAGTGATAGTTTAGGAGCTACTAGTTTAGGAGTTATTTTAGAATAAGTTATTTATATATTCTAGCTGTGTGTTAGATCACCCTTCTGTTCCAGACAGATCTTACCGAATTAACAGATCATTCAAAAATTCATTATAATCAGAATTCACTGGCATTTCATATGCTGGCCCCATTAAATGAAGGCTTTCAGGACTAGTCATGTTTTCAGTTCTTCCTAACTGAAAACACCTTCAGCAGTGTGATGATTAACATCTTCCCACACAACAAAGTCTTCTTGCAAAGCGACTGCCATCTTCCACTAGTCTCAACAGCAGAAGGCCATAGCTACTTTAAAAAAGAGATTTAAAAGAACAATAAGAAAACAAAAAGAATGAAAGAGCAACACCTTCCAAAACGGCCTTTTTATTTTTATTTTTTTTTTCTTTCTTTTTTTTTTTTTTTTCTCCCCCTATTCCACCTGGAGCAAAGCCAAGCTGCCATTGCAAAGAGAGGCATGTAGTTGTAACTATGAAAGCATGAACACGTGGGAAACCTACACGGGCACTGACCTGCTCCGCCACCTCCCGGCTCATGGCCAGCGCCAACTGCAGCTGCAGCTCCTCTTCCCCACTGGTCTGGGGCCGGGCCTGCTCCAGCTCGGAGGAAACTCGAGGGGACGTTGCTGCTGGAAGACAAAGCAAATTGTACATGCTAAATACTAAAAAGGTGGCAGAGGTCTGATGTCTTCACTCCATATTCACCCCATGTTCAAACACCATTCTCCAAGGTCTGACGGTGGCAACACCGCAGGCAGCACCGGGCCATGGGGGGGACAGGGCTGCTTCCAGCACTGAGCCCTCAGCGCTCGGCCAATGGCCAGAGAAATTGAGAAGGGAGAAATCCACAAGGCAGTTCAGTAGCTTTAAAAGGAAAATGCAGCTGGGAAACAAAGGCTTTTTGTGCCAGCGAGGCTGCAGGATCACCACATCAGCAAGCTGACAGTGAGCAAGGCTGAGACCCCCAGCACCACAAGGCTTGGGGGAGAGTCATTAACTGGAGGTACAAAACAGATTCTTCAAGGACCATTTCTTGGTATTTCTTGCATCTTCTGATACCAGTAAGAATTTGCTGGGAGTCGGCCAATATCAGGGTAAAGCTGGATACCGCCCACTTCTCTGTAAAATAATACGGTCTTAAATGGGAAAGATAAAGGACTATTCTTAACTGCTAAGAAGCAGGCTCTGAGACCAACAGACCAGCCTTTCAGTCTCAAAATTTACAAAAATATTTTATCATTCTTTGCTTAAAAAAAAAAGTGTCTCATATAGGTCAGGGGTACTGTTTATTTCTTCTTGCTGGCCAGTCTGCCCTTGAGTGCAGGCTAACAACTAGCTGGTAAGCCCTCCCCATCCCCCCAAAACCATCAGGCTTGGCATCTAAAACAGAATTTCTCAATACATAAACTGTCTTGTGCTGCTACTTTCATGACAGTAGCATGCAGAACCCCCATCCCACTGGGATAGCACTAACAGGTTTATTGCTACAAAGTAATTAAACAACTTGCACACTCTCACAGATAATTTTCTAGCACCCAGAGATATTTCATCGTATTTTATTTTAGCAAGGATGCATGCATTTGATGGCAGGAATGGTAATTACAATATTCTGAAATACATGTTAATATTCAACAAATCATTGAAACTAGGATGTCAAGATCATAGAAATCAGGTTCCTTCACAGGAGGTTGGCTGGGGAAATAAAAATGAAATTGCCAAATTGTAATCTTAAAATCACTTTTTCAGCCACTACTTCAATCCTTCCAGCATTCCCCCTACGCTTCAGACCACAACAGCGCTAGATAAGAAGTGACCACTCTTCTCTCACCTGTGGGCATCCGGGAAGCTGCACTTAACATCCATCCCACCCCATTCTGCTCCTGAAGGGAAAAATTTATCACCAAAAACTCAATTCAGTTCTGGTCCTGCTGCTTCCATGCGAACCCAGAGAAGCTCCCTGGTGAAGGTGTTACTAATACTTCAATCCCATCACTTTTCAAACTCTTTCTCACATAAAGTATCTAAATTTAGCCAGCTTTGCAAGTCCATTTTGCTCCAGCAGTCACAAACTGGCTCTCCTATATGTTATTTGGAATATTAAAGAGTAAGAAGGAATAAAAAGGACATCAGAGAACAGGATATCTGACAGCACGAGAAAGGATGGCCTTAAACAGTTTGCAAAGTCCAGTATTCTCAAACACAAAAATAAAGAGAAAAAACAACAGAAGAGGATAAAACTCAACAGGAGGTAACCGAAGGCAGCACATGACAGAAGAACTGAGATCTTTCCACGTTCGTTTGTTTCATTTAACCAAGAGAGGAAAAAAAGCAGTGGGTACCCTGTGAGGCTGATGCTAAATGGGACAGTGCTTTCAGAGGCCATTGCAAGAAGCAGCACTGGGCACAGAGCAGCTGCAGAGGAGTTGGCATCAGAACCACCTATCCTCAAGGAAGGTTCCCAACACTTTTTCAACAAGTGGCCATAAGTCCAACCTAAAGGATAATTATGTAACCAACAAAATAGAGGAGATTACGGAAAGCACCAAGACAATGCTCAGAAACAGCATCACACGAGAGGGAAAAAACAGAATATAAGAAATCTGATGCCTGAGAAGGGAAGAACGGAAATGTGGTGACATGCGAGAAGAAAAACACACTGGTGACAATCTTCTGCAAACTGGTGGCATCACTGTGAAGTGCTGGGGGTATACAGAGCGGTGTTCAGTGCCAAGCCACGAGCTTAACGCAGCTGTCATCAGCATTAGCACCGCTGCAAAGCACTACCCAGAAGTAATCCAACATACCAAATGCAATTCCAGTCATACAAATCCTAGACTGATGGTTTCGTAACAGAATGCTGCAAAGATGCTTCCCCTCTGAGCACAGGGAATGTTTTACATGTTTATCTTTGCAAAAAGATTGAGCAGATTACAGTTGCTAAATACATCATGTTTGCCAATACTATGGAGTGCAAAAAGCCATTTAAGATCAAGGGGCAAGAAGCAATGATATATAACCAGAAATAAACTTCAGACACAGATGGAATTGGGTCACCTCCAAGAAGCAGTTTTGCAGCAGGAACTACAGAAAGGAAGATTCCTAACTGATTTCAAAGCTGAGTGGGATACACGCACAAAAGGGAAGCAGCACTGGGAAGCAGATGGCAGCTGCAGCAGGTCAGGAAGGTCCCTCTGGCTTCTGTAACCACGGTGCTGGGGGAGAAGGTGGTTTCCTGGGCACTGTGCACAGGAGTTTTTCATCTCTGCTGACATAATTACATTCCACAACAAGTTAGCAGCTGATGGGAGAACGACTTTACAAGCATATGAAATGGATTCCTTTAGTCACTAAACTCTTCCTTTAGCCTCACATTAAAAAACAAACAAACATCATTACAACACTGTCATTTGACATTAAAAGGCGAGCAGTGGTTGTAAAGCTATCTACATTAAATAGCAGACAGCATGGGATTTTTTGAAAAAAGGATTAAAGGACACTGAGCACACTGCTCTTGGCAGTCATATGGCACGCTTCACCCAGCAGCATCACTTCCCAAGTTGCTCAGCCCCACAACTGCCTTTCGGTGCCCACCACGTCCTGCTTTCACATTTTCCTTGCAAGGAGCTGGGATAAAGCTTATTGCCTTAGTGACAGCATCACTGCCACACAAAGACTCCCTTACCCCCCAGCACATGACAGTTAATTCAGATGTTTATGTCCGATGGGACTCGATGGATTGATTCTGACCTACTAAGTCCCACTTTGGGGCTGCTGTGAGAATTTGGAGGTCCGAGCTCCCCTCAGCTGCTCAGCAACAGCTACAAGGGGAACACAGCATGGGGAAGTAATTTCCAACCTCAGTTAATCACTAAAGTAGGATTCTGCTGCACCATCTGTCTCCTGCACAGGCTGTAGCATCTTTCATACGTATTTACTGGAAAAGTACTTCATCTTGGCTACATTAAAAGCCCTCTGGAGATGCCCAAAGGTTCAGTTAAGTAATGAGTTAAAACATATGTACAGTACACAGCTAGAAAGCAGAGCCACTGCCTGCATTAGTGATAAAATCAGTCCCAGTATAAAAATGACACTGAGTATCTTTATCCAGAAGCTTGGTTGTTGTTTTCTCATTGCCACTCTGCACCACATGAAGAAGCCCCATAGTGCCTGGAAAAAGAGAGCTTCACCTCTCAAATTATGAAATGCCACGTGCAAACTGCTTGTTCTGGGTGGAACTGTGCCAACCAGATAGATTCCCATGGAAAACTGATACAGGATGGGAATTAACAGCACCTACTGATGTGGCAAGGGGGAGCTGGTCGGCTTTACTGCATGATTTCCACCTGTACTGAAGGAAACGGAGCACATGGAAATTTTACTTAACACTGAAAAAATCCTTAAGGTTTATTACATAGACAAATTTTTCTCTCAGATGATCACTACACTCAACAGAGTAACTATATTTATCTGGATACGTGTAAGTACAGAAGCCTGGTTACACCAATGCCACCTCCCACCTTTACTCAGAGCACCAAGCAAACACAACAGTCAGAGGATTAAATCAAGTTGTCAAGTGATGCCCGACAGAACACACAGAGGAGCATACCAGTCTTACTGCAACACCTCAAACTACGGATGCTACCCCTACAGTTCATCCAGACTCATTGCTGGATGCTATGCCAGATGTTCCATGATTCAATGGAGATGTATTCCAACCTGCAAGGCTGCAGAACGCATTGTAAGGAAACTGCAAACAGAGCGTGCTGACTGTTGTCATTTCCCACCTGAATGAGTTACTTCTGAATTATTTTTTGCTCCAGACAAAAAGGGAGACAAGAGCTGCAACAGCTGAGTGAACGTAAACTTGCTGATGCTTCACAAACCTGCTTTTGAAGAATGAGTCAACCTAATGTGAATAATTGCTGGAAATATTAAAACGCATCATTTCAGGTAGGAAGATTGCTCCCAATATCTTTATACACAAGGTTAACAGCCTTGGCATTTCACGAGGTCCATAAAAGCCTTTTTCAGTCCATCTTCCATCACTCCTGTATCCATCAGGCCAGCTGTGTAATGAATCTGAACTCCCAGCCAAGCAGCCTACCTCCGAGCAGAACGCTCCTGTGGAATCAGGTCATGCTGGGCACGCTGTGCTGCTCTGACTGTGCCACGGCTGTGTGAGATCAGGACACCAGAATGTGCACCAGCTGTGCTCAGCAGCACTTCCAGCTGCAGCCCAAATCAAGGCAGTAGATGGGCTGAGGAAAGGATGCGTACAGTCTGAACTAACACAGCTCCTGGGCCAGGCCTGGCAGGACAGAACCTCTCAAGAAAGCAGAGCTTCTAGAAACTTGGCTTCAAAACATGAAACAACACAGGGGAGGACTGGTGTTTTATGGGGATCCTTTGAAATGAAGAACGTGGGCTCCGCTTCTGTCATGCTGGTGGCTCCAGTGACATCCCTGCAGTGAGCCTCTGCTCAAAGAGCACCCAAGAAAGAGAGGTACTCAATGAAGGCCTTGACTGAGAGCAGGAGTTCTAACAAAGGTCTGTGAGAGCCTCATGTTTGGACTTAAAGCTCTATATAAAGAATCAGAATCCTATTTAAGTGACTGTTGGCAGCCACAGATGGAACAAGGCTAGAAACGATCTGAAGTTCTCAAAGCTGGGTGACAAATGTCGAGCAGAATGACAACAGACAGACACAAAGCCAGATCAGCGGTGGGGCACTGCTGATCCCAAACATCTCAAATATTACCCTTATGTTCCTCCCACTCCCAGCCTGGTTAGTTTCAGCACCACACAACCATATTCAGAAACAAAACGTCTGCTACCAGATTTCATGCAAATCTATATAATTTACTTACTTTCTAAAAAACCTGAATAACTTTCACATATTTTGTAGTGGGACATTTCATTGTTTCTGACCTGAACGTCAGTAGCCCCTCAAGTTAGCATCTGACCTCAATACATCACATACTGCTGGCAACACAGAGGTCAGGACGACGGCGCTTTTGAGCTTGTAGCTGTGAGGCACCTCTCATGGCTTCTATTTACACATCACAAGACTGTGATTATAAAAATATTAGCAGGTTTTTTTGCTGATGACTACATCAATAGTAATCACCATAGGCCATAATGTATTCCCAGAATTAGACAAGCTTTACAGCACAGAGATACTCAGGGCCAACAAAGACATTAAGGCAAAGCCGTGAGGGGAAAGGATTTTAATGAAGTCTACCATGCTCCTCCACTGCATTTCTCACTTTTTCTAGCTGACTGCTGGAAGTAAGATGACTGCATCTGCAAGGAGAAGGGGAAAATGTCCCTATCCACCAGTGTGCCTTGCTGCAGCAGTAAGGGACAATGGTAAATCACTCTAGAGATATTTCTCTATCTTTAATTCCCTCATCTTACACAGGCTATCAGCGCTGTTTCTATTTTTCCAGAAAGCATAATTTGGAAAAATCCTACCAGAACAAAACAAAACTCTCAAGCTCAACATCAAATACAAAAATCAAGTCAGGTATGCACAGTGGACACAAGCCTACACACACGCTTGAGGAGCTGGAGAACAACAGCAGTTTGGGTATTGCAATACTGAATCAATGCTGTGCAGCTGAGCTTCTCCAACATGCTGAAGAAATCAAATGAAAATTGGTGCACTGAGCTCTCCAATGTTACCCACTGAGTAACTGACAGGAGAGGAAACATCCCTCCTGCTGAAGCTTGAGAGATTATCCACAGGAACTTACTTGCTCTCCCTGTGCTCTGTCTTGCAAAGGCTATGAAGCACTTTCAGACTGCCCAGATTGCTTCTGGAAGAAAGTTCTGAAAACTGGGAAATGTTTTGAGACATTGTGCTTGACTGCAAACAAGGAGAAGGCATTCAGCTAAAATCTCTCAAAATCTGCAATCCCCATCCATTGTGCCTAGCCAGGAATTAAAGTAAGATCTGCTGCCACCAAAATAACTTGATGAAATATTTCGCTTACCCACTCAGACAGAAAGGCTGTTAAAGACTTTTCCCAAACTTTATTTGCATTGAAATACTAATCAAGTATGCTATATCTTTAGCAAGAATTAGTGTACATTTTCTAAGCAGCAAATCTCATGCTACTGGAAAAGATATTACAATTAAATCTAGATGCCTCTATGCAGGACAGTCTGTAACAGAGGAAGAATTACAGGGGGGAAAAAAAAGCAGCTTTGGAAATCTCAGGCTTGTCTGAGGTATGTGGTTAACAAGGGAAGAGGGAAAAATGGTTAAGAAATCATTACCTCAACAGGAATCTTTCAAATAGAGACACACAGCAAACCAACACGGAGGCAAATGAGAACATCCAGTAACTTCATGCTGGGTACTGAAAGAACGACCAAACTTGACATCTCGTTCCCCATCAAAATTCCTCAAATGTCCCAGGAATAACAACTCAAACACACCCTGCATTGCTCAATCCTTGCTGTGAGAAATAGCTGGGAGCCTCTGGCAGCACTCAGCATGACAAACACTGGTTGCGTGCCCCAATTAAGGTATAGCTGGTGAAGAAAGAGCAGTGGGACAAACCAGAGGTGTGCTCAGTGTGCCTCGGTGGCTGTTAGTTCAGTCCTTCAGCAGATGTTAAAAACAACAATATTCCAAGCTATCTCCTTAATTAGGGATAATTTTTTAAGGTCATTAAATGAGATCTGAGGTCTACATTAAAGAAAAAAGTATTCTGGCAGGGACAGAAATGTGTCTCCTTTAAAAAAAAACACACTGAATCAATGCTCAAGCATGGTATTAAAGAAAACCCAAAATATCTGTTATTCCATTGTTAAAATAAGAGACAAAAATGGAAATTGCCATGCCTGGATGTCTTCACAAGCTTTTTGCTTATAGTCCTGGGTCCTAAAAGCATTTCCTTTAGGAAAAACATTACCTTCTCCTGCTTTTTCTCTACAGCCTTTATGAGACTGAGATATTCTTCATCCTAGCTTGCTTTGTCCTGGCAGCTTCCTGCTGCCTTCACAACAGAGGTTCTGACACCATTCCCTCACTTTGGGATGCAGGACACGACAAACTGGGGATTCTTAAAACTGGTGCTCCATCGACTCACCACACTGGCTCTGTTACAGCCCCCCACACATTACAAGCATTCATTTAAGAAAAGATTTTCCTTCAGAATTAGACCACAACCACTGACATTTCAGCCAAAGCAGCTTTCATCAGATCATTACTTACATTAAGAAGGATTTAGTGCCAACTCAGGCCTCTTCCTAACATCACAGGGAGTTCCCCCAAGCACTGGTATAAAGAATCCATTCTTCCCACATCACCATATTTTTCTGGTGGCTTTATTTATTTATTTTAAGAATGAAATACAGTATTTTGTACTGATAGTTGCACGCCAAACGTTGATTGTATAAATATCAAAATACTGGCACGTTCACAGTGTTACTACTCTACAATCAGCTGAGCAAGCAAGAAAAGCAATAAAGGAAGTTCAGTTCCAATACTCTTGCTAAAATGGAAGAGCAGCATCATGAACCTCCTAGCAAAATGATGCCAGACAAACCTGGTATTTGTAACTTTTTTCCACTTAAATTTAAAAGGGAAGGAAACATAAGAATTAAAAAAGTCAAGTAATTCTTTTAAAAGTAGGGAAAAAGAAAATTAATTAACCATCTCCCTCCTGGGATCGAGGACCCTCTCACATCAAACACTGGAACGTGTTCACAAAAGCAGCCCTACAATGCTATGCTTGGGAACTGACAGTAAATAACTGCTTTTAAAAAGGAGTTTATCAACACACCCATCCTCTCCAGACCAAAAACCCAACCAAAGAGACCTCAGTGCCACAGAGCAGGCCTTCCAAGATCCAGCTCTTGCAAACAGCCCCTTGCAATGAGCACCTTAACCCTTCTAGAAAGCTCCACGTACTCTCACTTCTAATGGCAAATCAGAATAGAAAATATCTCAAAAGGAAAAACAAAAAAAGAAGAAAGCTTTGCACAGGTTTGCTTGTACTTACAGCCATGGTAGGATGCTGGGGAGCCTCCAGACTTGCCATACTCCTGCTCCGAGTAGCTGGTGGACAAGTTGGGCTGACTGGAGCCCCGACCGAAGGTGATCTGGTTGCTGCCCACCCCAGTGGCCACCTGAGCCATGCGTTCTTTGGTCTTCAGTGCCTGGGCCCTCTCTGTCTTCAGTCGCTCGTCATCCTTCAGCAGAGACACAAGCTGCTTGGATTTCTCCCTCACATTGATGCCCTGGTCTTTACCATCTCGATCGATATACTGGAAATCTTTCAACGTTTGGATAGCAAAAATATTCTCTTTACACTGCTGCGCCACTCTCTCAGAACCAGTTTTAATCAGGTAATCTAACAGAGTGAGGGCCTTGTACACGTGTCGCCAGTTCTTGCCGTGGTCATTGAGTCGCTTCCAGATCATGCTCATAATTTCAGAGAAGGCCACAACGTTGTAGGTCAGATCTGCTATTTCAGTCATCAGCGAACTCGAGGGACCCCATGGGTCGTTGGAGGTCGCTTCCCGCACTTTGATTTCGGCCTCCGAGTAATTGTTCACAATGTTCTTCATCTGCCGCCTAATAGACGAAGTCGTCATTTTTATTTCCCTTTTCAATAAGACAGCTGCTGGAACACAAAAAAAGGGGCTATATCTGCTCTTCTACGAACGTTTCTGAACTACGACGAATCCATATCTGTGGCTTATCTGTAAGAAGTTCCACTACAATCATTTCCTCTCTTCAAGAAAATGACACGAGAAAATGAAAATCATGACCTAAGCAAGAAAAGAAAACAAAGCACAATTAGTTGCGGCTTCAATTATTCCTACTTAAAAAGCAAAGCAGATACACTTTTGAGAAATTCTGTTAAGAGTGATGAATTTTCTCTCCGAATTTCTTCAGAGCGTCGCATTTTGGAAACAACTTGCTCTTCCCACCTCAAGAATAAGGGGTAGAGTAACCACGGCAAAGTTGCACTATGAAACAATATTGAGGCTCAATAACATCTGAGCTGCTGAACAACACGAAAGCAAGAAAATCACTGTGCTGATGCAAATGCAGGATTTGAAAAGGGAACCAAAGTCCACGAAACTGAATTGCCTAGAATTTTTAATTACAGGAAATACAACATCAGCTTCCAGAGTTTATGGGAAATTACATTAGAGCTGACAGTCGCAGTCTGCTCCCATTGCTGCAGTAATCTTGTGCTGAGAGAACAAGCGAATTTCCTGCTAGTAGGCAAGCAATTTCCGAGGCCCCAGACAAATGCAGAGAGCACCAGGGTCAGGGCAGAGATCTTGAACTGTGCTCTGTGTTTGCTCGAGGCCCAGGGAGGAGCACAGAAGGATGCACTCAGCTCAAGGTGACCTTTGGTGCTAAGCGGATTACAGGGAATGTTTTTTCCAAATGCATTTCCTTTGTGCATCTAACAGCAGTCGCCAGGCTCTCAATTTCTGCTCTGCGTGTCTTTCACACGGCACAGAAGAATTTTTAATTATATGAAAATGGAAATGTAAAAGCAAAATGACCAGCAAGAAAACCCAAGGACAAGCTATGGAGCTGGAAACCTGCTTCAGTTATTTTTTTAATGCCATTGTTTCAAGTAAACAGCGGCCTATTAAGCTTTAGAATATGTTACTGGAGCAAAATGGCAGTTTTTGCTGCAGCATACACAGGTTGCTTGAACACTAAGCACTGGTTCTGTATTTGACACATTAACAGAGATCGCATTCTTAAGATGTCCTCTAACAACATTTCTCCACACACCCAACAGAAGGAACTGGCTTGCTTACAAACATGGGAAAGCAGCAAAGCACGGGCTTCCTTCCCAACACTGTTACCATTCTTCAAATTGTTATCATGCCATTTAAAATGAAAGCAGAATTAGGTGTCAGCTCAGCCAGCAGGCAGCCCTATAACGACTTCTTCAGCATAAAGCCATATATCCTCCCTGGAAAACATCTCAGTTCAGCTACGGCAGAACAACTCCGGTGTGCTGCCCAATTACAGGGATGGAAAGCAAGGGCCCATCCTCTGCTGGGACATTCCCAGAGCCTCAGCACGGTCCTGCAGGAACGTTCCCATGCGCTCACAGCTGCGTGTCAGAAGTCACTGCCCAACTCTGCTGGCTCGCCTGTCCTCCTGAAAGCTCCCTTGTGTGGCTCTGAAGTGCACTATGCAACCAAGTGCCTCAGCTCCATCTGCCTCCACAGGAGAAAGAAAAGCACGTTTCATTACATCTTCCAGTTTCACAGATACTGAACACATCTCTTCAATACCACACAGGATATCTGGAAAGGTAAATTTTACACTACACAGACACATTAGTCCTAAATAATCATCTCTGGTCAATGGAATAAGTAGGAAGGATGCTCCAAAAGTAACGCCTCCTATTTTATTATGTCGAGCCACATCAGAGGCAGTGGAGCTATGACCACTATGACCACAACAGTTGAAGTTGAACCTTCCCACCAATATTCCATTAAACTACATTGAAAAATATCATTCTGCAGCTGAGAATTCACTCTACCAAACTGTGCTGCTGTACCCTTTGTATCTATTGTAGTTTCCATGGAAGCCTCACTTTTGGAGTGACTTATGTAGAACCAATCACATCAAACAATCAAGATTCCAATCACAACACAGCTGTGCAAATCCACTGGCTGCAGCTCCACAAAGGAAAAGTATCTGCACTTTGCTATAAGGCAAGGGCAGTAATGGGAACACAAGTCACGGCTCACGGAGTTCCTTGTTTATGAACTTCATTTTATTCTATTAAAAATGCAGAAGGTGATGGGAGTGGAAACAGGACATCTGTTTTTTCCTGTTGTCTTTTCTCCCCCTCCACGTTCTGGTTGTAACATTCAAGACTATTTAGCAGGAGCAGTGAGCCTCACTGAGAACTCTGATGCTTTTGCTATCTGCTTCTGCATCACAAAAAGGAAGCGTTTGACCCTATTACAGATCCTGGAACAGCCAACAGCCCATCTTACCGGCAAAGAGATCAGAAAGAGCCAAACAACTCCACTGCACAGAAGTGAGAAACCACTTCTAATGCGCAATCACATTCTTGCACAGAAAGCTTGGACTGTTTCAGAGACCTCAGTGAATCCACATCCCACAACAAACCACCAGGAAGCACAATGCACTTGCAACTTCAGCACAAATCTGTGTTTGCATGCTTAACACCAGCGTTGCAAGGACAGCAGAAAGCAAGAGCAGTTGGTTGTAGCCACTGTCCCCTGCCAACAGGAAAAGCACCATCAGCTTCAGAACGTTTCTTTAGAAGGTCAGAGGGAGAAGAGGGCTCTTGGCTTGCTCAGCCCAGGTGAGCCTTCCAAACCCTGCCTCCCTGGGCCCTCTCTGATAGAAACACACATTTCTGCAGACAACTAAGTGAAGCTTCCTTGTGCTATCGAGGGTAACCCGGAGGGCAATACTCAATTTCCTTTTCACTATGCTGATAATTTCATTACACAAATAATCCCAATGAATTCTCACGGTGCTTTTTTAGACACAATGTTCAGACAGAGGGAATTCCTGACTGAACTTCTCAATAGCTCTCTCGGAGATCAAGCTCACTAAATGAAGGAGACCATATTTAATTTGCTGAGACTAATGCAGAACTGAGGCCAAGCCACAAAGTCCTTAAGAAACTCAGTTCAAAGAAGCAGCCACACGAACCCACCTATATGCAGACTTTCAGCAGAATCCACTCAGATCTCAGGAATGCAAAACTCAAACCAGGGTTCGTCTCCCTGATAAATGCCCTTCCCTTTGAGCCCGGAGGTAAATACGTACACAGCCCAGTTGGGTATGGACTGGAGATGGATGGAAAGCCTTTCACATCACATGGGCAAGAAAAATGGTGAAAAATTACAGTAAATACAAGCAGGTTGTCAGAAATTTGCATTAAAAAATTGCTGTGGACTACAGTGAACATCTAATCTAATTTATGCATCAAGTTATATTTTTTCCAAGTCACTAACTGAATCATCTTGCAATTTTCAGGCAGTCACTGCAGACATCTTCATTTACATCAGAAGATTTCCCTTTACACACAGAAAGATAACCACAAGCTTTCAGCCTTGGACTCAGGCTGCAGTTAAGCAAAGAGCTTTTGCTGTCTAGCACCAAACACTCCAAGAGCTCTGGCAGTGCCCAGGACCAGGCCCATAGCAGCTGTGGGCAGCACACAGCTTGATTTCTGAGATCTGAACATACACAGACTCCGAGATCTGCTCTCTTTGCTATCAGGGTGAAGTGACAGAGGCAGGAGCTGAATTTTAGGGTACATCCGAGACTCCGGAGGTGGGGGAATGCTTCTCACCAGGCTGCAAAGAAGCAGGCTGGAAGGGAAGCGCTGCCAGATGCTGAGTAAGGGAGAGTTCCCCCAGACAGAAACTCACCCCACACCTGCACAGCACAGGATCTGCCCACAGACACATCCCCAGCCGTAACCATCAGCCAGCAACTATTTATGGAAAAGGAAAGATTCAAATCACCTGGCATTGTAAATTCTCATCTTGCTTTACTGATGGTACTTGTCATGTGTACAGACACAACTGCTGTGCTTTCAGAAAGCCTTATTTGCCGCACATGGGAACCAGAACTCGTTGATAAATGAACGAAGTACAAACGTTTATGTGAAATCCAGCCACATAATAACCCAGAAATAAAAATGACAGCAAAAACAGGTTGGATATTTAGGAAAAAATTCTTCTCTGAAAGAGCGGTCAGATACCAGCAGTGCTGCCAGGGAGTGGAGGGGTCACAGCCCTGGAGGTGCTCCAGACTGGGGAGATGTGGTACTTGGGGACGTGGTCAGTGGGCATGGGGGGATGGCTTGGACACGGAGATCTGAGAGGTCTTTTCCAACCTGAATGATTCGGTGATTCTGTGATTTTTTTTCTGATTTTTCTTAAGCTGGATCCCACACTGCTAAAGAAATTCTCCAACTCAGTTCACAAAACACTTCCCTATTTATAAATAATTCTTACGGAACAACTGGATGACCAAAAAAATATCACCAGACTGCCCACAGTGCAATATCCACTGTAATACAAACATTGATCCCAAAACCAAACAGGAAGAGGGACAACTGTATGCTGCAATGCCTCGAAGAAGAGTGGGAAGAGAAGCAAGGAAGCTTGGTACTGTGCAGACGAGCCAACAAGCAGCACACTTATTAGCTCTCTCTTGCTGTTACACAGCAGAGAAAACAGCAATTCATGTGAATAAGGCAGTAAAATGAAGACACTGAAATTACCATCAATGTCCTTCCTTTTGCTTATTTAGGAAATGAATTATAAACACAGATTGGCAAACGGTTTGAAGAACAGGCTGATCTCCAGAAGAAAGGTTTGATTTCCATTTTATACAGTTTAAACGCTTGTCCTCCCCTCAGTTTAATTTCTGAGAAAAGGAAACGGTTCAAAATTAAAAGTTTTGGAAGCCTTCCACTCCCTTTTACAAATGAGAGAACAAGCCCAGCTTTCACAGACAGCAGGTGGCCGAATGATTTCTTTAAATCGAGAGTTAATACTGATAGATACCCTCCTTCAAACCATGCATATTCATGAAGCCCAGGGTTAGTTTCTGCACTGACTGCACAGCAGTGCCAAGTCCAGCCCTCCACCCAGCCACAAAGCAGATTTACAGACACAAATGTATTTTCAGTCGCTTCTACTCCTTTACCACCTTTTCTTACTACAAGCCTACCTAGTATAGGAAGGCAGAGCTGAACGGAGAGCTCAGCTCGCACCTCAGCCTACAA